TATTTTAAATGACCTGAATATTTTCCTTTTGACACTTAATAAAAATACTTTCACATTTATAGCTGAAGTAGAATATAGTTCTGTATAAACTGTTAATAAACTGTTCTGTATAAACTGTTAATCACGTTTGATATAATGAAAGAAGTATTTCTGTATTTACTATAACTTTGAATTTGCTATTTGTATTTTAATTATCTTTTATCAGCTAGAGAAGTAGCTAATGAAAAGCTATTTGTATGGGTGTTCACTGCTTCCATATATCATAAATTAATCAAATATGACAAGGTGATGAGCTAGTAGAATTTACTTGAATTTGCTTATCTTTTAACTTTGCACCTATTGTCCTTGTCACCAGCGTTGGCGCAGTGAATACTCTCCCTACCTGGGTAAAGGGTTAGGCTCTGGGGAGTTCCCAGTGTCACTGACCAACACCAAGGATGGACAAAGCTTCCGGTCCAGAGATAGCCCTGTGGAATGGCTTTTGGGGACAGAACTGCCCACACCAGAGCATTCACATCACCCCCAATTTTCCACACTGAGTTCTCCTGCCCAGAATAAACTGTGAAGCAGCAAAGACAAGTCACCATCCAAGGCTTATCCTGCCTCTGACCACAGACTATTACTCCACAAAGGAAATGAGAAAAGTCAGTGATGTTTTATATGCTGTCAGCATGATTCTGACAGCCTCAATAAATTTCCTTTCAAAAATTTAACATATGATATTGAGCCTTCTCTCTTCCTACTTGGTTAGAGTGCATTACATCTACCAGGCCATATTTGGCCCTCCAAAGGATATACTATACTATTACCTTTAATTATGGCATCTGGACAATTCATAACAGTCTGAGACTATAAAGCTGTAAAGCTGCAGTTGGCCCAAGGGCCCTATTCCTTGTTTTAGAAAATACAAGGAGCCATGTCTTACAGCAACCTTAACTCCTTGTCTGTATTCCACACACTAAGGATCTTTTAAGTTGTCATTATGTCCTGGCAGAAGCATTTACCAAATCGTTAGGAGCATGTGAGATCCAAGATATGAAGGCAGAAGAGGGCTGGATTATTTACTATTAAACTGACAGGAAATGGCCAGAGCCTTTTTGTGACTGCTTTCACTTGGGTAAAAGAAGATAAATTAATTGCTTTATAGAAATTCCTTTCTGCATTCTTTAGGGAAAATTTTTCCATGAATACTCATATGACTGAAAGGGCTGGTTGGGGGCTCAACAACTTTGACATTGTCCTTTGAAGAAATGAAGCAATTGAATAAACTGATTTCCTCTGAGAAAAAAGATCATTTATAATAATATATCTGCAGAAAATATTCCCAGGACATTCTGTAAGGAATGTGGCAAGGCAGAGACCAGCTGAGACCACCAGGCTTGTATAAAGGCAACATGGTGTGGAACTTATTGTGCCTGGGTGCAGACAAACAGAGGGCAAAAAGGCCATCTGTAGGGAGCAAAGAGAAGTGAGCTTTTTTAATAGGGCTTGAGAGAAGGCCAAGGATGTTAGGTGGGAAGATCTTATTAAATATCAGTGGTCAAAGTTCTCTGGATGTTTTGTGCCTCAGTGGGCAAAGTCCTTGAGGCATTCAGTGGGTGTAAATGTTTGGGTAAGTTCAAATGTCTGGGTGTTTTGGAAGATTCCATGCTCCATTTTACCTCTTTTATGACACCCTGTGTTGGCCGAGGGTACCTGTGCTGAGCTGAGAACTGCTTCTGCTGGCAGACAGGCTGGGTACTGGGAGAGTCATCTCTGAATCGAACCTCACGTTCCTGTCTTTTTGTTATTATAAGCAAAAAAGAAAAAGACGGGAAAGGGAGATGGGTGCCATTTCTCAACACTGCTTTCTGCGTGGCACGTGAGCTGAGTGGCCAACCTAGTGGGAAGGAAAATTTTGGAGAACTGTTTTTTATGGAGAGGAGGAGAAGAGCAACAACTGCCGATTAGTGATTGCTTAGATGCAGTCTTGTAAGAACTGTGACGGGAGTCTGAAAAGACAGTGCCCGAACAAGGAAAGAAAGATTATACAGACCAGCGGTCCTGCTAAGAGAAGGAGCCATCAGGCCATCTAAAGGATTTGTAAGAGGGGCTGTAGAGAGGGAGATATATTGTGTGAGGTGGGAGACAGATATGCAGAAGGAGAGCAAGTCAAGGGCGAGGGCCTGACTGACAAAGGTGAAGAGGCTGTGTGGAAGAGTATATGGGAATAGGAAGGCATCTTTCAAAGTTAGGACTGAGTGTGGGTAGTAGATGGGGGATAGACTATAAGAGGGCCTATGGGCTGGGCACCACAGGATGGATAGGAAGGACTATCTGGTGGATAGTGCAGAGATCATGTTTTAATCTGTAAGTGTTGTCTGCATTTTGGAGAGGGGGAATTGGTAGGAACAAAAAGACCCCATTGGAGCAGGCAAGAGATAGCAGTTTTAGTCCCCTCAGGGCTGATCAGGGACAGGGTAAGGTGCTGGGAGGGATGGGGTGATCTGGCTTCAGTGGGATGGCAAGAAGTGTTGGACTGAGAGCCAGGGAAGGGGAGGAGGTATTCTAGACCCTAGAGTCCAGATCTGGGGAGATAATGGTGGCTTTGAGTGAGGCCAGAGAATGAAAGAAGACAAAGGCTGAGCTGACAGAAGGGGTCCTGTGAGTTGTTCAGGTAATACTGATCTAATGAGAAGTGAGTCATGCAGTGAGTGGGCGTGGGAAGACCAAGGGGGTCTGCCTTGCAGGCTGCAGTTTTTCTAGCCAGGTTGGGCAAGGCAGCCGGAGCCTCGTGGCCATGAGCAGCCCTCGGTGGGTGCGGGCCAGGCGCAGATCAGCTCGGTGATGATCTGGGGATCTTGGTTGTCTAATGAGGTGACTGATGTCGATCTAGACTTTATTAGACCAGGTGTTATCATTTCTCGTCCTTTGAGGAGTACATAGGCCTGTTTTTGTTGTTGTTGTTTATCTTGAGGCCTAGCTTTTAACTGATGCATTTCTGGCCACAGTTGTGGTGTAGACAAGGCCAAAGAAAGTTAAGTAAGTATGGGCCAAAGAGTAAAATCCACAGGAGGTCAGGGGAGTAAGTAGTCAGGACTGGGTGTGTGCGGAGTGGCAAGTGGGAGTTGGGGAGCATATAACTGAAGGTTAGAAGAGTGATGAGCAAGGCAGCCGGGGCCTTGCGGCCATGAGCAGCCGTGGGTGGGCGCGGGCCAGGCGTGGATCAGTTCGCTTGTGGAGTCTGGCAGCCGCAGCGTGGCAGCAGCAGGGAGGAGAGGAGCGGCAGAGTGTGGCGCTGGCCAGCTGGGGGTGCCATGGCCTGAGATGAGGTGGTGGGTGTGGCCCATGGCCCTTAGGTCCTGCAGCGTTGGGTGGGGCAAGGCGATCTGCCTTGCAGGCTCCAGTTTTTCTAGCCGGGCTGGGCTCAGGTTCAGGTGTAGGTGCAGACTGCGGGCTGTGTGTGCAGGCGCTGTGGTCCCGCAGTGTGTGAGCACCCGTTGGATCTTGGCTTCCGTGGTGGCCTACGTGCCTGTTGTGCTGTGTTGTCAGGGCTGTGAGAGCGGCGGGCCCTGGGGGGCAGGGTGGCATGCTGGGTGTGGACGTTTGGCACTGGAGTCATGCAGCCTGGGCCACGGGCCCGGGAACCAGCACACAGGCAGGGCATGCCCCTGGGGTGTGTCTCACGGGAGAGGGAGTCATGTGAGTGAAAAGTCAGGGAGCATGGGAGGGAAGCAGGGGGAGGTGCAGACGGAAGAGAAAGAAGCAGGAGAAGAATTAGGGTTTCTCACCTATTAGTACAGAAAAGTCCAGATCTGTTGCTCAACCCTTGACGGAGGCTTAAGAAAGGGCGCTAATAACATTCTTACAGGTCACCTGGAGACAGAGGATGCTGATAGACACTGAAAGAAGTGCCTTTCACCTTCCTTGGGGAGTGAGATGGAAACCACAGAGAAGTGGAGATTGCTGATCACCCATTCAGGGCTGTGCAGGGACCTCTGGACATTGTCTGGAGAGCTGCCCCAGCCACGACCCTCAGTTGTCCTTTCAGTTTTCACTAGTTTCGTGCAGTCAGAGATCTGGATTCTAGAAGGGAATCCTGTTGCCCAGCTGGTCAGCATCCCACTGGCCATTGGTGTTAATGAGGATTCACCAGGGGACTGGAGAAATCCGTCCTCTGCTTTGAGTGGCAGCTGCCCTGAAGGCTGTCACTGGCTAACAGAGTAACCACTGTTTGGTTTTAGTGTTTTATAAAGGACAGATAAAAGCTTGAGCTGAATACAGATGAGATTTTAAAAAAAGGACCCATTTTACAGAATTTTATCAAAATCCACTAGATGGCGCTTTAATATTTTTTTCTCCTTAGCGCTGTCTAAAATCATATTAAAAGCCACAGCAGTCACAAGGCAAACAGTTCCAGTAAGTCTAAATGTGACGTATAGAAAACCAGAATATAAGACCTTGTCTGCAAAAGTAAAACAACCCTTTCAAGAAACATCACAAGGTGATTTACAAAAGGCACAAACAGTGGCAAACAAGAATAACAATTATGATTACCTAATATAATTCAGCAATCAAGAAATAAAAGCAAATTTTTATCTCCTGTTATTTGTTATTTTGCAAGATGCAAAAATCAAAAGTATTACGCTCTGGTCGTTGAGAGCTGTTTTCTAGTGGGAGGCTTGGCCATGCCGAGTTACGGACAAAAGATCAGTTATTTGGGCTTCAGGTTGGGAGAGAGGAGAGATTTGAGATTCTGCAGGAGGCAGGCTATCTGGGATGTGGGGGGTCGAAGACGGATGGGATGGACCGTTCCCCACTGGAGTACAGAGAGAGGTGTGGGAGAACGGCCCAAAGACAATCAAACAGTAGAGTTATAGTCCCAGCACTTGGGAGGCTAAGGCGGGAGGAGGATCACCATGAGATTGAGGACAGCCTGGATATGTAGTGAGTTCAAGCCCAGCCTGAACCACATAGCAAGACCTTGTCTCAAAAAAAAAAAAAAAAAAAAATCCAAGAAACTAGTAAAGCTAAAGGCATGTGTACACTCCTGGGGAACATTTCCCAAGGGTAAGAAGGTCAACAGCATCTGATGCAACAAAAAGATCAAGTCACAACAAGACTAGAAGTGGTCACTGTCTGCTGTGCACTAGGTTGTCAGTGGCTGTGTCCAGAGCAGCTTCTGCAGAGGCCCTGGTGGGAGCCTGAGAACGTTGGATCCAAGGTGAGAGGGAGTGAAGGAAGCAGAAGCCTGGTGGTCAGGGAAAGGGAAGAGATAGGAAGTAGAGGGAGGGAGACCAAGGAAGGGAAGGATTTCCTTTGGAATAGCAGTGAGTGGAACAAGTTTATAGGACACAAAGAGGAACCCAAGGATGGACAGTAATTGTTAAGACAATATATCAAGCATTGGATGAGGAAAGATCATGTGTAAAAATCTAAATGAAACTTCTATTCTAGGTACTTTCTCTGCCTTCTCTGTCCACTCCAAGGGGAAATATTGGTGCATTAACAGATTTGGGGCTTCCGAGTGTTTATTTTATGGTGCTTGAGTTGTGTTCCTTAGTGTGAAACACAGAGACAAAAGCTGTACACAGAAAGAGCATCACAGTTGATTTTTTAAAATCAGTCTTCAGTAACTGCTCTTAAATTTCTTGTTTGGAACATATTCCAGGACCGCTTATCCATGAAAAGATTGCTGACATTGGAGCTGGGTTCAAAGTCTCAGCAGCAGGCCAAAACCTGTTCTTTTCAGTAGTCAGGATAAAGTTTAATATCCTTTCTTGGGAAAGCCTTCCTGTACAGAGATTTCCATTGCTAAGCTCTTAGGGAAGGAAAATTCCAGAAGCCTAACTCTATGGCAGCTATCTCTGATATTTTCCTGGTGATGAAGTTTCCAATAGTTTCTGCTTCTTTTTTCTTTCTTCTCTTTTCTTTTCTTTTCTTTTCCTTTCCTTTCTTTTCCTTTTCCTTCCCTTCCCTTCTTTTCCTTCCCTTCCCTTCCCTTTTTTTCTTTTCTCTTTTTTCTGTGCCTACCTGTTAAGTCTTATACTGTACAAGTTTCTTAACCTTTCTTGACATTAGAGGAGATAATAATACCTACCCCATAGTATTGTTGTAAGGATTCAATGAGCTAATTACAACAGTTCCACTGAGATAGTAAGCACTCTGTAAGTGCAGCTAGTACTGTATTCTTAATTGTTCTATTAATAAGGATAGTATTAAGCTGTTCCAGGTTATAAGGATTATAAATAGTTTCAGGTTAACTCAGATAGTAGTGTATTATTTTAAGAGTATACCAGGAACTGAGGAAAAAGGGAAATGACATAGCCAGCACAAAACTAGATCTTCTTAATGGCTGAAGGTTTGGGACGCAGGATCTCTACCTTTCCTCCTTCCTCCTCTGCTATCCCCACTGACATCTTTCCCTCTCGGGGCTCTGCATATGCATAACTGCTGCTGCCTCCCAGCCTCTGCTTACTGTTACTCCCTGTGTGTCTCAGAGGCTCTGCCCACCTGGCCATATGTTTAGCTGGACTAACACATTTACTCAAGATCACACAATTGGATGAAGCAGGATTTGAATCACAGTTACCCTTCCTTGGGAAATGATTACTGTGTGAGTCAACATGCATATATTGAAGATAATTTCTAATTAGACTTGCTTATTTTAAAAAATCCTCTATACTTCCTTGCATAAATTTAAATAGGCTTTATTGTTAAATTTTTACTGCCCACCAACATGCCTTAAAACTAGCTGTTGCATCGTACGCTAAGGAAAGCAAAGTGAGCAAAGTTGGTGGTAGGGTTAAGGTTCTTGGGAAAGGGTTTCATTCAAAATATCTTTTTTTTATTCTTTCTGAGAGTTAACCTTAAAAACCTGATTTTATAGCCTTTTTATTCTTCCTCCCTCCTGGGAGAGGACTGGATCCCTATTCTCACCATTGTTTTTTGTTTTGTTTTGTTTTTTCTTTTGAGACCTCCTCAGCTCCTAAGGCCCCATAGGGTGGTCTGAGCTTCATTTCCTCAGTGTCCCTATATAGAATTAGGTGTAAATAGAATAATCTGATACAGAAAACTGATATCCTAATGGGGTTTTGTTTGTACATTATTCTCTCACATAACTAATCCTTAAGGACTAGCTATTGTTTCAAGGTGGTAAATACTACAAGTATAGCCAGTCGTAGTTAGTCTGGATTTCTTTCCCCTTTAAATAATGGTACACAAATTTCTGCCCATTGAGCCTACTTAAAAAACTTTCTTTAAGAAAAAGACCTTAATTGATGTTCCTGAGTGTTAAAAGAATTTAGGTCTCATCCTAGTTTTACCATTTGCAAGATTTGTTAGCATTCAGCCATCTCTGTCCTCTCTGAGCATTTGCTGGCATTTCTTGCATGTTCTTTGGAAGTGGGACTCTGAAATGGGAAGGTTGGCTTTGATTAGATCCTAGCAGTTGTATTCATATGAGACTGGCTAAGTTGGAGACACATTCAATGGCTGCCTTCTCATGAGGGAACATTGCCTGCTTCCAAAAGGGACATCGCAGGAAGAGCTACGTAGATGTTGGCTTTGTGTTTACCACCTGGCCTCTCTACCATACCTTGTGGCTTCCTTTTAGAAACCAGTTCTAGGTTTTTCTTTTCTAAAATCTCATTTCTGTTGATTACCATGGGTTAACGTCACCTTGGCATGTTTAGTACGTAGTAACCTGGTGCAAACCGTTTGAACACTCTCGAGGATCATAGCCACATGCTTGTGCATTGAGGAAAATGAGATGTGTTCAAATGCAAGAAGCTTTTTAAACAAAGTATTCTAGAATTGTAGAATATTAGAGCTAAGCGTCAGCCTCTCATTGAAGGTAAAAAGCAATGCTATATTTAGGAAAGTGGTTTTTCTCTTGGGTTTAATATTTGGGAATTGCATAGGAGAGCTATGCAATAATAAAAACCATGATACTGACAGTAAGTCACATTCTGTAATAGCCAGGCCCAGGCAGAATCGCAAACTCTTGGTGGGTATACTGAGAGATACAGTTCCACTCCACAATTTGTTATGGATCTAAGATTTCTGAAAAAGACCATCTTTATAAACCCTCATGGATTTTTCAGGAGAATATTTTGTAGAGGCCAGAAAATTGAGTAATTCCTAACTCTTACTGTTTGGTTACTGGCCAGGGTGCCTGGCTTAGCGGAGTGTGTGATTTCTCAGGAAACTCTATAATCATTCAGCATTTACAAACTAATCCATCCCACTTGTGTGAGCAATATTACCTTTTACTTTTCCTGTAAAAAAAAAAAAATCCTTTTCATTCTTTCCACCTTTTCTCTTTCCATGTTCTTTACATTCCTAGTCTAAAGTGCCTCAAAGAAATTATTTATATAGTATTGAGGAGCAAAACATTTACTCAGGGTATCCTGGAAACCTTGACTTTGCTGCATTATGGGTAAATCATTTCCTTATGAGAGGAAGAAGGAAATTACAGGACCACATTGACTAGCATTTTCCTATTACTGCTAAGTGAACACAAAGTATGCATTTGGGGGTGTATAAAATTTACTATACATGAAGAATATTACCTCTAATGAATGTAGACAAGCTAGGACACAATGTTACCAGATACTGAGGATGGCTAGCGTTGTGAAGAGTAGACAGGATGAGGTGGCTTAGAGCCTCATGCCACCCTGATCAGTCAGTCACACAGAAAGATACACGCCAAACACCAAGGCATCGATGCCTTAGGTCATTGAGTGACTGTTCTGTGTGCCCACGCTACCTTCCCTGTCTGACCTTTAGCTTCAAAGGATGGGACACCCAGAAGCAAGCAACTGAAGCAGAGGGGTTTCTAAAAGAGCCCAGGCTTGTCTCTGAAGCCACAGCAACACCACTGTAAGCAATATGTTTTCTAACCATCAGAATTCAGTCAAGGCCAAATGTTGTCACAAGCTGTGGGGAAAAGGAGGTACCACCAAAGTGGCACCTTTGAAGTAGTCTGGATATTACATTGTATTGAAGACAAGGACTAAAAAGCAAATATTACACTATGTTTGTGTGGAGGTGGGGGGAAAGAATGAGTCCTTAAAGTTAGGAAGGAGATAGCTGGGGGAAGGTTCTGCGGCGGTGACCCAGGAAGTCACCCACACTGCTCCATTTTCACTTTTGGTGGTGTCAGGGAGGTCTGATTTTAATTCTCTTTCTTCCTCTTCGTATTTGCTTGGAAGTTTTGCCAGCTGTCCACCTGCCCATCTGGACTTTCCTCGAAGTTTTCCTTGCACTCTCTCATTTGGCTTTCTCTTGAGCTATCTGAAGAACCTCCTATGGGTTGAAATTGAAGTAAGAGGAACCAGAATGGATCAGTCTTTCAATCCGATTTTTGGACACTGGAACTGAATCTTTTTTCTCTATTTACCTCACTGTAGAAGGTCATAAATGCGTTCTCTGCACTGCTGCCACCGCCAGAAGCGCCGCTCCCACCGGAAGCTGCCAATGTCGGGTCTCAGCTCGCGTGTGCGGATCTCGGAGTATGAATTGATACATGACGCGTCGAGGTTGGTTTAACACAGCCAGACAGGTCCCTCCATCAGGTTTCCCTTGGCTTTGCGTTCACAAGTCAGTCTAGCGTGCCGAAGTGCACTGTATCTGAGTCCTTGGGGTTGTTAAAATGCAGATTCTTGCTGTATTCAGACCAAGGAGGTGGGCCCCAGAAATCTTCACGTTTGACCAGCTCCGCAGCTGATTCTTATGGACATTAACGTTGTAGGATCACTGCGGGAAGGGATGGAGTTTTAGGATGAAAGCTGCAAAGCTAGTGTTCAAAGTCTAAAGTTAGTCTTATTAACACAATTGAACCTGGATATCCGAAGGTATTGTGTTTAAGTTCTTTATAGAAGAAAAAGAGAACACTGTCTCACGGTATAAAAGGGAAAATTGTCACCTGTGTTTCCAGTTATAAGGATCTTGCATAATTTTCTGGGTGTCTCAACAGAACGTCTTTAGGTCATGCTTAGGAGTCTGAGCCAGTTTTGACTTTAAGGTGGACAATCAGGAATAAATCACTAGAGAAAGACACAAATATCTTTTTATATAATCTTCACACTTTCCAAATGCCTCCTTGAAAAGGTTCATATAACTCTACCATTCATGTCTGCTAGTCTCTTATTTCTCAATATTAAGAGTAAATTATACCCATTGGTTTAACTTTTACTATATTTTATAAAATAAGTATGTAATTATTCTAATATTGCACAGAGAAAATTTTGCACAAGACATTTACCTCTTGTCCTAGAATTAGGAAGTGGTTGTTTAGCCAGGATTCTTGACTTGTCCATAACTCAGGTCTCACAGCGTCACCAAAACAAAGACCCTTATAACTGTCATCTTCAGTAATTGTTTCATGCATGGAATGTATTCTCATTTATTAAGAATTGATTAAAAGGACTTCTTCATATATCGCTCTAATGTGACCAACATTTTAGCAAGGGATGAATAAAGGGCCTTATTTCTATAGTGAGATAACAGTTTTATTTGGGATAAAGCAAATAGTTGATAGAACAGGAAAATGGGTCTCTCTGAACCCAGCAGGAAATAGTATTTGCAGAAATGATAAAGGACATAGTGGCCTCCTGGAAAATGTTGGCGGAAGACTGGGCCTCACTTCTGCCACAGGACATCAGTACTCATAATCACTTCTGCCACGAGTACTTAAGTGACCATAAATACGCCTGTCTGGGCCAAAAAAAAATCCCTAGGACAGGAAGACCCCCATTCTTTAGGTCAGACCAAGCTCTGCTTCACAACTTGATCCATTCACCCAATTCTTCTCTGTTTTAGTTTCGTTTTTTGTGAAATGGGGACTTCACTTATCCCATGGGAGAGTTGTTAAGAGGCTAGATGTGGCTTTATACCCTGCGCATGCTTCTTAGAGCCCGTGAAGATTAAAAATATAATAACAAAAATTAGGAGCCTCAGGATGATTTCCTTGTTCTATGAATGGCTAAGCTTAGCTGGGGCGGGGTCTGGGTACCTTTCCTATGTGAACATGTTTTCCCACATTTCGGCCATCATCTCCTTTACTCTGAAGGCACACAAGGTTTCTCTTATGTCTGGAACCTGCTGTTGTGGAGCATCACGAGCTGAGGGGATCAAGAAAGGGCCATGCTTCAAAGAAAATACTAGGAGCAAAAGCTCAGGCATCAATGCACATTGGAATACAAGATCTACATGGGCCACCAAGCATGGTGTCTCATGGCTGTAAACCCAGCACTCGGGAAGCTGAGGCAGGAGGGTTGTTGTCTTACTTACTTTTCTCATTGCTGAGACAAAATACCCAACATCCAAAGTTAAAGGAGGAGAGGTTTATTTGGCTCACTGTAGAGTTTCTGTCTGTATTTGGCTGGCTTCAAGGCAGGGTCCCTTGGCAGAGGACCATCACAGATGAGAACAGTTCATGGCACCCACAAGGTAGCAAGAGCAATGAGGGAGGAGGGACAAGCCTCTTTTCTTTTGGTTTTTTGAGACAAGGGTTTCACTCTCCAGTTCAGACTGGCCTTGAATTCACAGCAGTCCTCCTGTGTCAGTCTCCGAGTGCTGGGATTACAGGCAAGTTCCCCATACCTGGTGGGACAAGCCTCTTTCTGTCCCTTAGAGTGTATGCAAGCTACCTGCTCTAGCACTGTGTAGCACTCACACCCTTAATCCTAGCCAGATTTACACCAAACCTATCAGTGAACTGATGTACTAATCACATGCCCCTGATCCCAGCACCACACACTCTAGGTACAGCCTCTACTGAAAAGTTGGCCCCCTATGACTGCATGAGGCTTTAGGGGGACATCTAGACACAAACCATAACAGTTGTCATGAGTCTGAGGCCAGCCTGAGCTGCATAGTCAGTTCAAGGCCAGCCTGAACTACAGAGTGAGACCCTGTATCAAAAACAAACAAAAAAGAAGAAGCAAACACAACAGCAACTAAAACTATTAAGGCAGGGCTTTTGTCTGCTTTCCTCATTATAAATATGCACAGAACCTCGAAAGTATAAATCAACATCAGACATCGGGTTTATTCCTCATCTTTCCTGCCTGCTGTTTTCAACATTTTGGAAATGTTTTCAACATTTTGGAAAAAGGGAAGAGACTAGGGCTGGGGGATAGTGCTAGAACACTTGCCTAGCATGTGTGAGGGTTTAAGGAACCAAGTGACTAGGATCATGGTCTTTGGAGTCAGATAAGAGATTCTCTCCATTCTGTAACTTTCCTACTCTTATTCTCTTTGTTTGAAATACTCACCTTGTTAGTCTCCGATTCCCCCTCATTTAGAGCTTTTTCCTAATGTAAGCAATGGTTAACCATTAATAGCTTAATAACTTAGGAAGGGGACAGTTTCTTTGGCCTAAGACTATTGTTCCTGTCCTCCAGACTGAAGTAAATTTTGAGAGAAGATGGAGACAGCTTGGGACTAGGGAAGAAGAAGGTGGGGAAAGTGATTATTTGGCGTTACATTAGCTACTCATATAGTGTAGCATATCCTAGTTAAAACTGGCTGAGGAGGAAATATGGGCATTATTATCTGGATGTTTGTTAAATCTTGATCATCAAGGTAACTAGCTAGGCAGGGTTAGTTTGGCTGAGAAAGGTGATTATATAGCTAACTCCTGAGTCACTGGGGGAGGATGGGCAAAGGACAAGGAGGTCGGCAGATCTGGAACTTGTCTGCGAGCAGTAGACCAAAGTGCCCATCAGAATCAACTGGACAGCTTGGACCCTGTCCCCGGAGTCAAGATTCAGTAGGTCTCAGGGATAGGGCCTGCTTTACATTTTTAGTAGCCTGGAAGATGTTGATGTTATTGGTCAAAAGACCAAATTTTGAGAATCATTACAGTGGAGAAGGTGCAGGAAGACATCCACACTTATCTACGGTCTTTAATTTGGTGTCATCGTCTGCCGCAGGTTAAGTAAGGCTGTGTTCAATGGCAAACGAAAAGACTCTCAGCTACCTTAGTAAGCTCCACAACTTAACAGAGCCAAATCACAAAAAAGGAAAAAACATAAAATTGCCCCATTTCTAGAAAAAATCATTTGTATTTCACAACTGCAATCAGCTTAAATAGCAGAGGCCAGAAGGCTCTCTGGGTCTTCGTGAAGCACCTCACTAAGTCTTACGACACGTTACTTAATCCCTGCCCTGGACAGCACCTCTGAGAACAAACAGCCCAGTACAGGACCTCGCACACGTATACAGCTTGTGGCCTCCACGTCAACCAGGGAGCTGGAGTGCTGGGACAGATAACTTACAAATCACAAAGCAGAGCAAAGAACAAGGTGCTTTTAATCAAGTGTCCAACAATGCGAGCTATGTTTAATTGAATCCAAAGGGTTAGAAAATGGGCACAGGGCTCAAAGTATGTGGAGGTTGGTTTTATTTTTATACTTCTGGAGACTTAGAAACAAAATAATAGTGAAAGGAGCCCTCAAGAGGTGCTTAAGAGTCTATCACAGTAGATTAAAATGTGTGTGTGTGTGTGTGTGTGTGTGTGTGTGTGTGTGTGCATACATGCATACAAATTCTGTCATTAAATTATGGCAACTACAGCACAAATATTTTGGAAAAAGGGAAGAGACTAGGGCTGGGGGATAGTGCTAGAGCACTTGCCTAGCATGTGTGAGGGTTTAAGGAACCAAGTGACTAGGATCATGGTCTTTGGAGTCAGATAGACTTGTGTTCAAATCCTGGGTATAGACATTTGCAGCCCTGAGTTTTGTGTTTGTTGAATGGGGTGATAAAGATAAATCTGGTTTATTGAGTTGCTATACTAAGCTCAGCACCAGGCCAATCAGAATATAAACACACAGCGCTTCTTATTAAAACCATTGTCAACTTTTTACAGTCCTAATAATTGGGAAGTTCTGTTTTTACAAACATTTTTATTAGTACCTATTTGTCACGCATATTAGTCACATTCATTGTAGGGAATTTGTACCAGTACACAGTGTATCTCAATTCTTTTTTCTCGTTCACCTCCCCTCCCTTCAACCCTTCCTCCCCTCCCTATTTGCAAAAGCTTTGTTTCTATTTTTTTCTTCCACTCTCTTTTTTTCCCTTTTTCCTTCCTTCCCTTCCCCTCCCCGCTTCCTTGGATGAAAGAAGAAGGTTTGTATTAGTCCATTTATATAAAATTATAGAAAATGGACACTGATCTACAGTGATGAAAAGCAAATGAACAATTACCTGGAGGAAGAAGGGATGCATTTAGAAGGGACATGTAGGAACTTCTTGACTGCACTGATGGTTTCATGTATATATTCATGTGTGAAAGCTTATGCAATTGTATACTTTTAAATGTAGTTTTGGCTGGGTATGGTGGCACATGCCTGTAATCCTAGCACACTGGGAGACTAAACCAATTGGATCACAAATTTGAGGCCACCCTGGGCAACTTAGTGATTTAGCCAGACTCTCTCAAAAATCATTTTTAAAAAATTTAAGAACTGGGGATGTAGCTTAGTTTGAAGGCCCTAGGTCCGATCCTCAGTACCACAAAAGAGCAGTT